TCAAATTAAGAACTGGCATTATTTTTAATCCGAAAAATACCAGTATTAGAAAATGTAGATCGTATAGACAATGAAAAACTACGACGTAAGTATCCAAGCATATGTTTTTTATGTGACTGTAGAGGCGTAAGTATAAATTTTCTATGAGTTCCTTATTTTTTAAAGTGATAGTTATACATGACTATGACTATAAAAATTAATATTTAAAAAAAACATTGAAGTACATAAAGAATGAAATAAACATTTTAAAAAACCGCTCTCCTATACGCTATTTGGTTAAACTAAACGTTTTCAATTACAATAAACTGAATATTACTTTTAATTGCAAACTTGAAATAGTATTTCAGCATTAATTTTTTATCGTCAATTTATTATTTATATTCAAATTTTCTATCAATCAATGATACAAAACCTAATAACATAAATTGTTATTCCGTAATAGAGATGGCAAATATCTGTTGCAATATATAAAATATTCTATAAATCATGTAGACTGCATATCGATACTATTTTATGTCGAAAGCCATTCTATTAATATATCAGAATTTTTTTATTTTAATTTAAAAGAGAAGAAAATAAAGTTTATTATGTAAAATTTGAAGTTTTAAAATTTCTATGTACCGTAAAAAAAAATCTATATTATATATTATACATTTAAAACGTCGATTAAACTAGTATTGTTATTTTATGGAAAAATAGTTATTTTTCACATAAAATACTCAAAGCAATTATATTTTAGCAATTTAAACATACACAATTGTGTATACTATGCTATGAATTATTATCAGATTATTTATCAGCAATAAAATATTTTATCATCTTTCGATTCTTTGAACATTTGATAAATTATTATTTATTTATTTTAATCTTGGTATATTTTTAAACAATCTTTATTAAAAATATCTAATCATACACGCTTCATTTGTCTATGACGTGCAATTTCTTATAACAATCGTCATCTTGCCGCAAGCGTAGGACAAAGTGATTTCTTTATTGGGGGTAGTTAAAATACCTAGGTATCTAAAAATTTTTTTGCGAGGAAGATATTTTATACTTGGAAAGTCTTTCTTACAAAATAAAAACAGTTTTTTTAAAGGAAAATTGTATACATTTTTTTAAATGATGACTATAAATATTTCATTTAAAATTAAAATTATATTAAAAATTAATAATTTAAAACTAAAAAAAATAAAAAAAATATTTAATTCAAAAAGATAGAAAGATGACGGATACATATTTGGGAGAAATGATACCATTAAGTAAAATTAATACTATATTAAAAATATTATTAATTTAAAAAAACTAAAAAATATTAAAAATATTAAACTCAAAAGCCACAAAAAAATTAATGAAAAGTCGCGGATACGTATTTCGGAAACAATGTTACCATTATCAACGCTAAACACATACTGACACCCCGACTAGAAAAAACTCCCTTATATACCCCTAGTGACCTTATCACCTAGTGACGTTATCACTAAGTAATATTATCACATTTTGCCAGTTTACACAAGTTTAATAATGAATTTTTCAGTGGGCCAAGATCCCAATTAATTAAATTGTTTTTATTTTTAAACATTTCTATTGCTTCTCTGATATTAAGTTCTTTGTAATTATTTACGTTTTTAATTAGTTTTATGGTTTTAATAGAGTGATTATGTGTCAATAAATGTTCAGCCACTGGAGATTTCTCAATTTCTTGATTTTTAATATTTCTTAAGTGCTCTTTAAACCTGACCCCTATATTTCTTTTTGTTTGTCCTACGTAACATTTATTACAACTTTCACATTGTATTTTATAAATGCCTGATTTCCCCCCTTCATCTACCTTATCTTTAGGGTTACCTAATAAATCTCTTAAATTATTACTCTTAGATGTTACCAAAGTAATACCAAAATTCTTAAATATTTTAGTTAATCCATTTGAGATGCCCGGATAAAATAAAATTGGTGATCTAATTACTTTTTGTTCCCCCTCGCTGGAGAGTGTACTAGCTGCCCTCCTTTCTTTTTTCCACTTTTGTTTTCGGACTAATTTCAAAATTATGTTTTCGTTATACCCATTAAATTTAGCTATTTCTTTTATAACCACCAATTCTTTATCATAATCTATTTTATTCATCGGAATATTAATTAATCTGTAAACCATACTATTAAAAGCTGACAATTTGTGTTGCCAGGTGTGGTTCGATGTGTTCGGAATGTATCTGAACGTGTGTGTGTTTTTCCGATAAATTTCAAAATTTAGTTCCCCCTCTGTTCTTTTAACTAATAAATCCAAAAAAGGCAATTTTCCCTCTATTTCTTGTTCATATGTAAATTTAATCGATGGGTAAAAAGAATTTAAATGTTGTATGAAAACCCCCATATTAAAATCTTTATTTATAACTGCAAAAATATCATCGACATACCTAACCCAAATTTTTGGAAAATCACCATAAGTGTATTTTAAATTTGTTTCAAACCTACTCATAAAAAGTTCTGCTAAAAATGGTGATAGCGGATTTCCCATTGCTGTGCCCTCAGTTTGCTCATAAAATTTATTTTGAAACTGAAAAACATTTTGACTCATACATAACTTTGTTAAATTAATAAGCTCATTTATTTTATCCTGTTCAATGTTTTGGTCCTTTAGCCAGTCTTTAAGAAAATCAATTGTTATATTTATTGGAATATTCGGAAATAAGGCAACTACGTCAAAAGAAATTAACCTGTCATTATTTTGAATGGTATAACTAGATAATTGTTTAACTAAATCAATATTATTTTTAACTGAAAAACTATCGAATTTTTTGAAAGATGAAAATACCCTTACTAGGTGTTTAGCCAAATTGTAAGTCGGAGCATTAATATTCGACACAATAGGTCTCATAGTACTTCCTGGCTTATGTATTTTTGGCAAAGCATATAGTTTAGGTATTTGAGGGTTTGAAATTTTAATGAAAAACCTGAACTTTTCTTCGATTATTAATTTTGAACTATTTATGACGTTTGTAGCCTCCCTTATCATTTTACTTAATGGATTCTTTTTAATTTCTTTATAAGGACCCTCTTGAATCATTCTTGATACTCTTTCATAATAATCTTCTTTTTTTAGTATTACAACAGAATTCCCCTTATCTGCCTTTAAATAAAAACAGTTTTTATTTTTTAAGTCTTTTATGAGTCGTGAATGTTTTTCATTTTTTCCTAAACCCCCTTTATTTATAACAGAATTTTTTTGTAGAAAATTTAAACACTCCCTTCTTGCTAAGTCTTGATTATTAAAATCAACACTTTTAACCCCCATTTCAATGCCTACTAGTAGATCTTCCATTGGAAATTTTTTTGGTAAAAAACTTGTTTTAAGACCCAACTTAAGTATTTCAGTTTCTTCAACGGAAAAAACAATGTTTGTGTAATTTTTAACTAAATCGTCCCCCCAGTTTTTAGAAAATGAAACTACCGGACTCTTATTAAAATTATCTATTTGACCCTTATTTTTGTATTCTGAAAGTAAATTTTGAAATTTTTTATTTAANCGTAGTTGCCTTATTTCCGAATATTCCAATAAATATAACAATTGATTTTCTTAAAGACTGGCTAAAGGACCAAAACATTGAACAGGATAAAATAAATGAGCTTATTAATTTAACAAAGTTATGTATGAGTCAAAATGTTTTTCAGTTTCAAAATAAATTTTATGAGCAAACTGAGGGCACAGCAATGGGAAATCCGCTATCACCATTTTTAGCAGAACTTTTTATGAGTAGGTTTGAAACAAATTTAAAATACACTTATGGTGATTTTCCAAAAATTTGGGTTAGGTATGTCGATGATATTTTTGCAGTTATAAATAAAGATTTTAATATGGGGGTTTTCATACAACATTTAAATTCTTTTTACCCATCGATTAAATTTACATATGAACAAGAAATAGAGGGAAAATTGCCTTTTTTGGATTTATTAGTTAAAAGAACAGAGGGGGAACTAAATTTTGAAATTTATCGGAAAAACACACACACGTTCAGATACATTCCGAACACATCGAACCACACCTGGCAACACAAATTGTCAGCTTTTAATAGTATGGTTTACAGATTAATTAATATTCCGATGAATAAAATAGATTATGATAAAGAATTGGTGGTTATAAAAGAAATAGCTAAATTTAATGGGTATAACGAAAACATAATTTTGAAATTAGTCCGAAAACAAAAGTGGAAAAAAGAAAGGAGGGCAGCTAGTACACTCTCCAGCGAGGGGGAACAAAAAGTAATTAGATCACCAATTTTATTTTATCCGGGCATCTCAAATGGATTAACTAAAATATTTAAGAATTTTGGTATTACTTTGGTAACATCTAAGAGTAATAATTTAAGAGATTTATTAGGTAACCCTAAAGATAAGGTAGATGAAGGGGGGAAATCAGGCATTTATAAAATACAATGTGAAAGTTGTAATAAATGTTACGTAGGACAAACAAAAAGAAATATAGGGGTCAGGTTTAAAGAGCACTTAAGAAATATTAAAAATCAAGAAATTGAGAAATCTCCAGTGGCTGAACATTTATTGACACATAATCACTCTATTAAAACCATAAAACTAATTAAAAACGTAAATAATTACAAAGAACTTAATATCAGAGAAGCAATAGAAATGTTTAAAAATAAAAACAATTTAATTAATTGGGATCTTGGCCCACTGAAAAATTCATTATTAAACTTGTGTAAACTGGCAAAATGTGATAATATTACTTAGTGATAACGTCACTAGGTGATAAGGTCACTAGGGGTATATAAGGGAGTTTTTTCTAGTCGGGGTGTCAGTATGTGTTTAGCGTTGATAATGGTAACATTGTTTCCGAAATACGTATCCGCGACTTTTCATTAATTTTTTTGTGGCTTTTGAGTTTAATATTTTTAATATTTTTTAGTTTTTTTAAATTAATAATATTTTTAATATAGTATTAATTTTACTTAATTAACTAGCCACAAGTGATCAATTTTTATTATAATGATACCATTGTCAACACATACTGACATTTCGACCAAAAATCCCATACCTTTACACCTAATCATTTAAACGTTATCATTAAGTGATGTTATCAAATTTTACCAGCTTACACAGTTTAATAATGAATTTTTTAAGTGGGTCAAGATCCCAACTAACATTTCTATTACCTCTCTTATATAATATCTTTGTAATTATTCACGTTTTCAATTAGTTTTATAGTTTAAATGGAGCGATTATATGTCAATATATGTTCACCCACAGGAGATTTATGAACTTCTTGATTTTTAATATTTCCTATATGTGTTTTAAACCTGACATCTATATTTCATTTTGTTTGTCCTATGTAACATTTATTACAACTTTCACATTGTATTTTATAAATGCACGAATCCTCCCTTTTTTTTACTTTATTTTTATTTATTATTATTATTTTTTTAAATAAAATATTTTCTTTATTTGTGTATTGACAATTTGTACAATATGTAAATTTGTTAATTTAATTGATTGCATGAATAGGATGACTGGGTAGTTCACATTAGAATCCCCTCACAAAAAAAGTAATGTATTTGCAATTTCTTTAAAATTATATAAATTAAAATTTCTTTTTATTTATTCCTTTAGTTGTTTTGTAATAGGTCTCTACATCTGGTGCGTTTAAGACGTTGCGTCTGGTTGTTCGGAAGTATTTTGAAGGTAAGTTGGGCTATTAGTATGATTTAATAGTTTACAAAGGTAATTGAAGAAGAATAGTGTTGTAGATTCACTTACAGTTTTAGCGTAATCCAATATACGGTTTGGCGTGTATGTAATAGTTAATGCGTAATCCANTTCATATTTTATCACTGTGAAGTTGATTATTAGATATGAACCAAGGAGACCTATTAATAATGCGAAGACATATTGATTGAAATGCTTCTATGATTTTTGTATTTGATGGTTTTGCCGATCCTCAAAATAGAATACCGTAAGATTACATTAGTTGTAGCAAACTCTTACATAAATTGAACCGGTTTAATATGTGAAAATTACTTTTAGATGCTACTAAAGTAATACCAAAATTCTTAAAAATTCTAGATAGCCCGGATAATATAAATTGGGTGAAAAAATTATTTTTTGTTCCTCCAAGCTTATGAATGTAGTAAGCGCCTTCTTTTCTGTTTTTTACTTTTGTGTTCAGGCTAATATTGAAATTACATTTTTGTTATACCCATAAAAACTAGCCATATATCTTATAACCTCCATTTCTTTATCAAAATTTATTTTATTTATTGGAATATTAACTAGTAAGAATATTAGCTTAATAAGCTCTTTTATTATATCCTGTTTTACAGTATATAGTAAATTGTTTTACATCCTGTATGTTACATTTTTTTTAATCAGTCTTTAAGAAATCAAATTGTTATAACTATCGAAATATTCAGAATAAAACTACTATGTCAAAAGAAATTAACATATCATTATTTAAAAAAGTGTAACTATATAATTTTATTAATTAAAATAGATAATTAAATTGCATTTTAATGACTCTATTAAATCCACAATTATTTTAATTAAAAAATAATTACTATTTTTATGAATGCTTAATACTTTTATTTTCACTATCACTGGGCAAATAATATAAAATACTATATTTAACAACCAAATTGAATATTCAGCATTTATATGGTAATTAATTACAATTTCATCAAATTTTTTGTCATTAAAATGTTATAATATTTTTTTTGAATTTTTTAGAAAGGTTACAGAGGGGCATTTGGCTAATCTATTCCTAACAAGGCGTGGTGTGGCGCGCTGGACACATGAAATGTTGACAAAATCCTAGTGTTAAGCCATGCCTGCTACCGTAATGAACGAATGGGTGACCATACGTGCGTTTTACGATGGCCAAAAAGCACCAAGTGTAGAAACACTGCACTTATCCCTACCCTAGTAATATCAATTGATCTTTGGGTATCTGGTATCGAACACCCGAAAATAGGTAGAATTAAAAAAAAAAAAAATTCCTAACATGGGATTACTTATACAGGGTGTTCAGTAAGTCAGGAAACGGGTTTCTATTGTTTTCATTGTTTGTAACAATGTTATATACAACATTTGAAAACAATCGATTTTTCTTTTGATTGGTGTTATTTTACATTATAAAAAAATTACATTTAACAATATTGATTGTTAATTGATATCACATATTTTTATTTTTAAATACGTAATCAAAAACTAAGACGTAAGTATCCAAACGTATGTCTTTTCCATCACTGTAGATGCGTAGATATAAAGTTTCTATGGATTCCTTATTTTTCAAAGTGATAGTTTTACATAACTATGAATATAACAATTAATATTTCTAAAAAAAATTCAATACTTTTTATGATTTATTTATATCTTAATGAAATATTATTTTTCTGTTATAAAATTAGAAATAATGACATAGATTGAAATAATAAGTTATATGAATAACATTAGCTTCACAGCAGTTTAATGATGACGACTATTAAAAAAATTATAATCTTTTTATTATTTTATTCTAATGATAAAGGGTACATTGAAAAAAAAGGTAAATTAATTTTTTTCAAAATGGATATTTTGTTGATAAAATAATCAATATGTCATTATGTATATTTTAAATTGTTAAACCAGTGGAAATAGTAAGGTATCCATAAGTAATAGTTTTGAAAGTTATGTTGTACTGTAAAAAAACAACGTGTTATTTTCAAATTAAGAACTGGAATTATTTTTGATATACCGAAAAATACCAGTATAGACAATTAAAAACTAAGACGTATAACTAATCACTTGTAGAGGCGTAAGTATATATTTTCTATGGGTTCCTTATTTTTCAATGTGATAGTTGTACATGACTATGACTATAATAATTAATATTACAAAAAAAATTATTATTCAAGTACATAAAAAAATAAAATAAACATTTTAAAAGTCGCTCTCCTATATGCTATTTTTTATAATGTCAAACTTAGTGTTTGCTATGGTACTTATAACAATTCAATACTTTTTATAATTCATTTGTACATTTATGAAATGTTATTTTTCTGTTATAAAATTAGAAATAATGACTTAGATAAAAATAATAAGTTTTATATGTAACATAAGATTCACAGGTGTTTTAATTATGATGTCTGTTTAAAAGTACTATTTAATTTATGTATAATATAAGTTTATTTAATTACAGGGTAATATTTTCATCATAACTCACTAATTTACTTACAATATAAAAATAACTTCAGAAAAATATTTCGATTTTTTAGCTACATATATTTCTTGGTTATTCAAGTAATAGCAATTCAACCCTAGTTTTATCGTTTATTTAATTTTTTTTAATTTAGTACATCAAGCCGTTCGGTTCGTTAAATAAATAAAATAATTGTATCACTTTCCATTACTGATGGATATTGTATTATTAATGATAAATTACAAAATCTGAGTTTACGAATGAATTGTATTTTTTTTATAATAATATTCCTGCTCGCCCCGCAACACATTTTTTTTCAATTTTGCAAAATTTCAACATACATTAGTATAAGTAATCAAAATTAACAATTAATGAATTATTACCAGGACTGTAAATTTTATGCATTTATAACTTTTATGAATTATTTCGAACACACCTTCAGTTAGTAAACATTTTTATTAATTAACTAGAAAATTTAGTAATGTATTTTTACTGATGTTCTATTTTGGGCGATTCTGGAGTTTAAAACAAAAAATATTTCTAATTATTTCTTCTACTAACGATTATAATATTTTTTTTTAGCCATAGTTTTTTTGTCAAATTTAATTGGTAGAGGTGAAATGATACTTTTACTCTCCTCGTATTTTGACCAAGGAAACAACTGCCCCTCTCTCATACAGTTCACGTGCTACTAAGATATATTATTAAACGGATATATTATTTTTAATATTTAATTGTAATGATACTATATAAAGGGTACATGGAAAAAAAAGGTAAGCTATTTTTAAAAAAAATTGAGATTTTGTTGACAAAATATTTTATATCTCAAAAATAAAAGCTGATAAAGCAAATTCTGAGAGCAATTTTGGAATCATCCACTTAAAATTCATAGAAATGACCCCTCACGCACCTGCAATTATCAACTTTATTTTTGTTAGCCAGTGTAGTCTTTTTGGTTTATATAATATACAGGGTGATTTTTTTATCATAACCCACTGAATTACTTGCAGAATAATAATAATTTAAACATTTTTTTTTATTATTATTTTTAGTTACACATTATTCTTGAATTTTTAACTATGTAATACTTTTTAAGTTCATCCCTTATGCCTTGGAGGGGGTCAACTTTGTTTTTTTAAATGGTAACACATATTTTTAATTTAATAAAATGTTTGAGTTTTTAATTTAATAGTAGATGGCATTTGAATTTTTAATATAACTTTATTAGCTTATTAGATATAAACATTTAAAGTTTCAAAATTTTGAGTTAATATACATGTATAATACACATGGGATTGTAAATACAGGTAGCTAATTGGATTTTTAT